AAAATTGACAAAGCTATTCGTATTAAATACTGTTATTGCCAAGTACCCTTTACCACCTCTGAGATCAAGCAATGCTCGGGTAGTGAAGTTCCTCTTGAGCGTGGGAAAAGGTCGAACCTGGTACGTTAGAAAGGTGGACGGAGGGACTGCCGGCGGACGTCGGAGATTGGGGCAGAAAGAGATGGTGCGCGAGTTAGGAAGCAGGGCCAGGTGAGTGGGACAAGCAAAAGCCTGCAGCATCGGTGCCATTTGGTGAAGAAATTGGAGACGAAGGGTGGGTGGATCAGCCAAATGTGGTGATTTGGTTGGGAGTTGATGGGTTTTGGTTTCCACGCCTCGGCGTACGACTGTGCGCGTTTGTTCAATTTTATGAGTTCATAAAAGAAAAATAAATAGAAAAAATGTTTTTCTAATAAAATAATATTTTAAATATTTTTCAAAAATATATTTAATAATAATTCTCATTTAAAAGAAATTTAGAGGAAATAATATATTTAAATTTATAATTTTTTAACTTTATTATTTTTTGTTCTAAGGGAGATAAATAAAATTTTAAATTATATTTATATTCAATTGAATTAAATATATGATAATATCATATATTATCCATTACTACGTCGTTTTGGTTGTATAATTATGTACACAAGAAAGAGAACTGTAAAATACTTGATTACAAAAGATAAAATGGGTAAATTAAGTTCATTTTTGCCTTTCATTCATGAACATAATATATATATATATACATATACATATAGATATATATATCTTCCACTTTGTAATCACCATTAGCTGGTAATTGAAATCTGCAGTCAAATAATTTTTTTTCACCCAACCATTAATTTCTGAATAGACCAACCAAACTATTTTCAATCATATCATCAATAATCAATATATGTATCTATATATATATATATATGTATATATATATTTCCCCCCATTTTTCTATTGTCTGGTATATATTTTTCTGGGTTTTATTTATTTTATGAGATACAAGAAAATTGCAAATATATTAAGTCAAAAAGACCATGTTGAATTGAGATAAGAAGATCCTCCTCCTCCTCCATACCCTTCTTTCATCATCTTCTCCATCTCTTGTAACCCATATGTGCTTGCTCCCTGCAAATCCAATGCAACACTACTTTTACTCATTTTCACATACATACATACATATATATATATATATATATACATGATTCAGTCTCACATGGGTATATAAGGGAGATATAATTAATACCAAGTTAATGTATAGATTCTTACTACCTGCAATATTGTTTCCATGGAGTCCATCTCCATCATGTTGAAGTCACAGTACATGCTAGCTGCTGAAAGTTTCATTGAGAGAAACTAAAAGGAAGAAGACAATGAAAAATGAGAAAAAGAAAATTCATTAAATTATTTTTATCTTTAGAACAGCTGATTATATAATAATTCTTAGATTTAGTTTCTTAATTACTTCAATTTGATTCTGGAGTGACTGAACATAATTGATGATCACATCCAACATCACTGCCATTCCCATTGTCTGCAATATGTATGAACTATAATTAAATCAAATTCGTTTACTAATTATTAATTAATCATTTATATCCAAGTAATTAATCTTAATTAATTAAGTTTACCTTGTAGCAACCTGGAACCAGGTCTTGTAAGCACCTCAGCCTCTCATTTATCTTCTCTCTTCTTACCTATCACGTAAACTAGAAAAATTAACAAGGGTAATTCATAATTAAATATGTGTACATACATATGTAAGTATATACATATATATATATATATTTATACCCTCTCTGCTAAACTGTGACTATCAGTAGCTTGTCCTCGTTTTGCTCTCACATGAATAACCTCTTTTGGCTTCTGTAAATCCATCTCGCTCTTCTTCTTCCTCTTTCTTCCTTGTGAATTACCCTAATTAATCATTACCAAATTCCAGCATCAAAACAAAGAAAGAAAAATAGAATTACAATATAAATAATCAAACCATGTTTCATGCAACCACCAAAACATACCTTACTATCATTTCCGGTGAATAACCCAGTTGCAGATCCTGGGGGAGGACACAAATTCACGAGTAACAAGTTTTGACCAACTCCGCCCATGGCTTCCTTTCCGTTCTTTCTTTCTTCCCCAAACCCACCTGAAAAAAATTTGCAGAGACATGCAAGCTTATAATTATTATAAGATCCGTGACTCCTAGGAAGTTGCGGGATCATGAGAAATAAGAGAGAAAAATAGGAGAAAGAAGAGTTTACTGGATATGTACCAGTGAAGGTCATGGTAGGTTGAGCAAGTTGGCTATGGAGGAAGGTGGAATGGGAGAAACTCATGGATGATCCACGAAGATGGTGATGAGTTGAACCAGTCACCTCCTCCAGAACAGTCTGGTTCAGTGTATCTTTGAAACAATGCTTAAAGGTCTGGAATTCTAATTCACTAAACTGATCCGCCATTGGAGGAAAAACCCATAAAACTTCATGAGTATATATAATAATGGGATTGTAGCACTTTAGTGTACAACATATATAAAGATTTTCTACTTTGATTATTAGTAAAAAAATCGAGATTTATTTGTTATATCATAATTAATTTTTTTTATCATATTATAATGTATTTATTAGTGATGTATATGTGATATCTAATTAATAAAATATATAAATTTTTATTCAAAAAATATTAAGTTTGTTCAAATACATGTGTGAAACCATACCCTTTGTTATTCATTTTCTTTTTTAAAAAGTTAAATATGCTACTTGTTTTGTATAAATTTTTATTTATTAAATTAAGTTTAGTTTAGAATTATCTTTTTCTCATCAAATTATTAAATTTAATAATTTGGTACATAATTAAATTAAAATTACAAGTTTTGTATTTTCATCTTATAATGAATTAATAATAATAAATAAATAAATCTAATTTAATTTAGATATAAAATTCACTTTTATTTCCACTTTAATTCGGATCAAACTTAATTTTATAATTATCGATCTATCTATATTATTTATTATCATATTTCGTACAGATTGTCATCGCACAAATCATAAAGAGATAAGATGGTTGAATACCACCGACGGACTCATGATGAGTTTCATAAAAAGACCATTAATTAAGTACGACCCAATTTAATCAACATCCCGTAAATAAAGAAGTTACGAGAATTTAGTATAGCAATGGGCATGAAAGTTAATCAAAATCCTCATTATGGTAAAGAATGGGCTAATAATTTAATTAATTAATGCCCAAATCTATATAAGATTTTTGTACTTACTCATCCCATAATTTCATACCCCTATACCCAAAGATAAATCAATGCTCAATAAAAAGGCCTACACTACATATAGTTTGAAAATGGGATACCAAAATTTGATGAATGAAAATTCCACATTTGGAAAATTTTGGGTCAAAATTGTTAAGAGCATGTATAACCTCAAAATAGTCCAAACAAAAGATATGGTATTGCTAACTTGATTCACATGGTAAATAAATTTAAATGATTTATTATTTTATATATATACATACATATACATATGTATATATGCAAATGTTATTTGCTATTACCATTAAGATTTTAGAAAAAAAAAAAATTAGGTGGGAACAAACTCATTCTTATCAAGATTAATTAAAAATTCCTAATTTTTTTTTGGGTTTCTTAAAAAAAATTAAGAAAATAATTTTTAAATAAATTTCCAAAACTAATATAATAATTTGATTGGGCTAAAGCACATATATTGGGGCCTAGTCCACACCACTTTATTTAATAGGCTCCATTCCCTAATGGGTTACACAAAATTTGAACCCTAAAAGCCTAAAATTATTTGCCATGGAATAGGTTAGATTTTCAACTCATTAAACGCGATTAAAAGAACTTAATCATTATAAAATATTTATTTTATCGAGATGTATAATAATTTTGGTGAGATTTATTCTAATTTAGTCGCTACAATTCTGTTATACATACTAAAATCCTTTTGAAG